TATGTAATTGTTTTTACATGTTCTTTTTTAACTGTATACATCACACTAATAATTACCAACATATTTATTTTCACATCTTCTATATCTTTCGTAAAGAATCATTTGCATTGAAGTTATGATATCTGTGTTAATAAATTTTCGACCTTTGGCACGCACTCTGATAACACGGCCCGCCCTACCCTCACTGACAAACATATTGCCCTGGATGGCTATCATTTGGTTAGGATCAGTTAACTTTTCTATTGTTGTTTGTCCGTTACGCCTTTCTGTGAAAATAAGGCGACTCTCGTTCTTAAGATCCATAGGTGCTCTGTACGTTGCATTCATAATAAGCTACAACAGTAATCAGGTTTGTGAGAAACAGTAATAGTATCATTGGAATCGTGTGTATGATAAAAACACAATTGAAACTCAATACAGTAAGTTGAATAGCTTAAATCAGTAGAATAGAACTACAAAACAACGGTAAGATAACGGTGGTATGAGGATTCGTAAATTATCGTAGTTTGATATTTATTTAAATTGTCAGTTATGTAGCAGTGATATATTATCATAATTTTTTATTATTATAGTAATATTATCCACATGGGCATACAAATGTGGAAATATTGATGACACGTACATGTCCGTAATGAGGCATGTGTGGTTTTGCAGCGTAAGAAGATCCGATGACAAAGGAATCACGGCAGCTGGTTGTGAGTATTTCTCGAATATCCCATGTTATATGATTCCACGGTGCATTATCATTGCGATGAAGGTATTCTATTATTGACGTGTTGCCACCTAATCCTGTATAAATTATTCATTTTTGTAAGATTTTCCATTTAATGAAAAATTAGCTTTGTTGTGATTTCTTACCTACTCCGGCAAGATTATATGGTGCTGTAGTTAGACGAGGACAGCTAGCTATGTCGACGTTTAGTTGTTGGAACAAGGGTTGCATTCCATTTTGCAGAACTATTACCGTGTACACACGCATGAAATATGATGTATTTGATGAAATAAATAATAAACATTGTATGAACATATACCTTCTGCGATTTCTGAGAGAGTCGGTGGGTTCGCAGGAATTGTCACATAAGGAACGAGTTCAGTTTTGTAGGAATCCCCATTTGGTCTTTCTGCCATAATATTAAATTCAAACTGAAACACAAAGCTATTAAATTTTTACTACGCGTATTGATTACTACAAATTATTATATTATAATAGTAAATTTGATGTTAAATCTGACAAATGTTCATGTTTGCGTGCTATTTGAAATAATATAAATTTGGAGGGATGGTTGCTAATTTATTATAATTACTTATAATATATATGTTGTTACTGACAAGTTTGTTGCATTTTTGAATTTCGAGAGAAAATTTAGCTTATTTATAAACATTGTAAATATGCTAAAATTTATATTATATGTATCCTAAATTATTGTAATAATGTACGTTTAAAAATAAAAGTAAATTTTACTTTTTAAATACTATAATTAGTAAAGAATCGTGGTTGATATCAAAAAATTATGAAATACTTCAAACTTTTGAGCGGTATTATATGGTGGGTTTATTTGCAATAATTTATTATAAATATTGCATCTATCAAAATATGTTTTGTAAATTCTATATGTATCATTTTTGGACAAAAACTGACAAATGTCTTAAATCATTAATATTCAAGAACCTTGTTAATTAACTAGTAAGCTGTACTAGTAAGTTGCTACGAATTGTATACAATTGCTATTTTGGAACAAAATTTAAAAGATTTATTATTTCGTATCTGTGCATTATCTATAATTTAAAAATACATTGTATGTCGCACTGTTCATGTTTTAATAACATTACAATTTGCTATTTTATTTTTACAAGTAGAAGCCGTGATAATATTGTCAAAACATTTACATAAAACAGATGTAAAACGTGTCTTGTAGATTTAAGTATAGCTTAATTGTTAAATTAAATAAGTAATGATTGTGAACAAACATATTAATCAGATATCGTTAGTTTGCGAAACAGAAAATGTACTACTAATTTCAAATCAACGAACATATTAGGAAGATCATATGATGTCTATAATTTTAACGAAGAATTATTTGATGATATTCAGGTTGATATAAATATGGAATCAAACACATATAAATCACACACACACAAACACGCACGCACGCACGCACTCACACACACACACACACACACACACACACACACACCCACCCACACACACACAGACCATATTTACTGTTAATACCATTTATTAAAATTGTAAAGTTACATACACCACTGAAAAAGATTATAGTGAAATGATCGAATTTGGAATATTAAGAATAATGTTTTATTATGTATTATAACATAATAGAGCCTGGCTTCTTTAGCTTTTATTTATCTAGATGAATTGTATTCATTTTGAATTTCACTTAAAATTATAATTCATAATATTTTTTTTTTTTTTATATTTAGTCATGAGTTAATAATAATTCTGTGAGCTAACATGCATTATTGTATATTTACTATTTTATAAAATTGTTAAATGTTTCACTCATTTAGACGACTTTACTCGTCTCGTAGTCATTTAATTTAATATAATAAAGATATTCTGTCGCGTGTGTGGTTACTAGTCAAATATTTGTGTCATGTACTTACTAATTTTGTTGCAAATGTATAGTTTGATTGTTGAATTTAATTTTTTCGTTACATCATCGTCACAGACTCGTCTTTGCCGTCGTATATGACCTATATAAATAACGGTGTGGCACACTTTCTCGCTGTTTTCCCGAATATGACAAGAAGACATTGGTTTAAGAAATTATAGAATCATAGCGGTCATAAGAGTCAGGAGTAATAGATAAACATAATTTCGTGAAATCGTTGACGTTTTGAACAATCCAATGGAAATTTGAAATGTATTCTTTATTTTAAAAAAGAAATTGGTTTGAAGTCGACAATTTATAATAAGCTTTGTGTGAATGTGTAATAGAACGCGACATAATTGAAAGATTAAGATGATATGCTATTATACATGTATAATTATTAATCTATATTTTGTTATTAATTCAAGATTATTGCTTATATTGTTTATTTTTAATATGTCGAGGCTTGCATGGACGACAAGATGAAGATGCACGTTGCCAAGAGGGGGACTTTACCAAGAGTTCTCTTAATGTATTGGTGCCAACGAGAATTAGTAATTAT